TTATTTATAAAAGCTTTTTTAATTAAAAAATTTTATTACATTTTTTTTATTTGACAATTTAGAGCAGATTTTTTGCAAAAAAGTGGATGTGAACCAAGGCATTTATTTACAGATTCTCCTATCAAATGAAGTTTCTCAGTGTTGAGTTACTTCAAAAGAATGATGTACAGGATATTGATAAATGAATTGTCTAGTGGGCAGAAAGCTGCTGCCATTAAGTGGGGGTTTAAGTAAAGATACAATGTTGTTGGAGATGGGGGAATAATACAAAATGTGACTTGATTCAATTAAAAGTATGAAGTCAATTATGATGAAAATTTTTGCCTGGTGGTAAGATTCAAATCAGTACTAGCGTAGAATCAAAAAGCTAGTCCCAAAAGTCGTATCAGGTGGAAAAAATTGAAGGTCTTAAAATAGAAAATAAACATGGTAGGCAAGTTGTCACGTTTCTAGGGCACTATAGTGAAAAAATTAGAGCATAAGCTCACTTTAGTATGAAAATATTGCTGACTGAAGAGAATTGCCATATGACCTGACGACAATGGGAAATACGAAAGACATGCTGCAGAAAAAAAAAAAAAAAAAAAAAAAAGAGCATAGCACGATGAAAAAGATGCCAAACTTGACGAAAACAAAATTTTATTATCGTCTAAATGTTTATGTTATTATTAAGAGGAAAGACCAAAGTTTTTTTTAATTATTTTTAAAAATTTTTCTTTCTTTTTAGAACATTCTAAATTTTGATTAAAAAAACCTTGTTTCTCTTTGTATCACCGGAACTAGTAAAATAACAGACAATTTTTAGCACTTTTTTTTGTATGACACACATTAATTTGGAAAATCTTGCAAAAATAAAAAGAATTGTTGGATGTTAATGAAACTTTCAGAAACTATTCACAGATGATCGAAATTATTATAAATGTTTTTTTTATTAAAGTCATGACAGAATTTTTTTTTTTTATTACCCCCCCCCCACATAACTAATTTTATGAAAACGCTAGAAATTTGATGACATCGGGTTTAGTGATTACAATAGTTAAAAGCACAAGGGTTTGAGGAATGCAAATCATGTTTTTTTGTTTTTTAATTGGACCCCCACCTGAAAATCAGCTCTGAATTGTAACATACAAAACTCAATAAAACAAATATATTAATTTCAAATTTTTAATGCTTTTATTTGTTTTAAATGAATATGGACAATATTTTCTGAAAGCAAAAAATTTTTTCGATGAAAAATGAATTTTTAATACAATTATTTGTTATTTCTTTAATTATAATAGATTTTTTACATTTAAGTTGTTAAAATATTATAAAATTAGTTAAAAAGCCGCATCAGGTTTCCTAAGTGTCCTTATGAGATAGATTTTTTTTTTTTGTAAATTGTAAATTGATTTTTTGACTAATCAGAAGATCCGCAGTAATTAAGAAATGTAATTTTGTGTTTATAATCAAACTGTAATTATAAAATACGGAAGACCAACCAGAATACAATTAAGTTGCTTATTTGAGTTAAGCATTGTTCTCTGCTGTTAAGGCCTTTACTTTTTATGAAAAACACGTGGAAGAAGTTAATTTGATTTTTTCAATTTCAACTGAGAAGGGTACCTACAAGTATCAGTATCATCTTATGAAATTTATATGATCTTACTTTTATATTAATCTCAGTTATGACATTTTTCCATAAATGAAATATCAAAATTAATAATAAAATGAATGGAAATACAAATAACACAGTAAAATGTAATAAATGTACATAAAATTATAGTATTTTATGTACACTTCTGATAAAATTTCATAAGAAAGGTATCTATAAATTAATTAGATACCTTTCTTATGAAATTTAATCTCACTCTTAACAGTCTTATTTTAATTTCTTTATAATATATTTTTCATAAAGCATCGTAAACGTAAAGGTGAAAGCTAAGTACAAAAAAAAAAAAAAAAAAAAAAAAAAAATAGAGCGCTGAAAGTTTTCCTTAAAAATAACAAGGTAAATAATTTGTTCACTTAAATCTAAATAACTTCACTTTTTGTCTTCCGTAGAACAAATTATGATCACATAAATCCGTCATTCAACACCTAAGTGACACAAAAGTTTATGACCTGCTTTGTTTTATTTTTAAATTACATCTTTTCGGCACAGAAGCTAAGTCAACCTTGGTTCAAAATATTTTAAATAAACATAATTTCTCATTTTCTTAAAATAAGTTTTGAAAAAATGATAATTGATTTTTAAAAGAATTTCAAAGTGAGATTTTCATCTTTTTTATAAAATGGAAAAAAAAAAAATAAAAAATAAAATAAAATGGATGCCATAATCGATTATCTGTCAATTTTGCTGACTCAAAAAAAAAAAAAAAATTTTTTTAACGAAAATTTTGGACATGATCGGAACAATTAAAAAATGTAAAAATATACCCCCAAAATACTTTGATCTTTCCTCCTAACAATAACATTTAGACGATAAAATTTTGTTTTCATCAAGTTTGGTGTCTTTTTCAGCATGCTATGCTCTTTTTTAGCGATCTCATAGAGGTACCTAAATTTGTCATCACCCAGGTCACAAGACATCAAGCCATTGTTCAAATATAGGTTTGAACAAAAAAAGAAAAAAAAAGAAATCAAGCCTTTTTAGTTTTACCCCCCTTTCACTCTTATCTTGTAAGTGGTGGGATTTTTATTTACAAGCTGATGACAGCTTGTTTTAATGTTAATTGCTTGCTGGCTAGCTGGCCTTTGACCCAGGTATGTCAACATCAATTTGGCTTAAATACTGATCCCTATTTTCCTTATTGCTGCTATTTTGAAAAAAAAAAAAACAAAAAAAAAACGGTTTCCGGTGGTCAGTAAAAGGAATTGCGGAAAAACCTTCGCTTTTTACTAAAAATTTAAATGGCGGAGTGTCAATTTTTTTTAACCCCTGGCGGCCATACAATTTAAAATTGCCAATGGACTTTGTCGCATTTTGACCCCCTAGGAATTTTGTTTTCCTTCACACTCAATTTTATTCCTGAAATAGTTTGATTATGGTTTGCTTCTGATTTTCCAAACAAATTTTTGTTTATAATTAGAAAAATGCAAAATTTTCACTATTTTTTTTACATTACCCCTTGAAAAATTTTTTTGACTCATTTACACCAGCCAATTTTACTTTTAAATGTTTGAAAATATTGTTTGCTTTCAGAAAAAAAAAAAAAACCTAGTTTCGTTGGGTTCAGGAAAAAGTTTTGTTGACAAAACAGTCATTTTTCAATACCCCTATAAAAGTATGAAAATCAATTTTTTTTTCAGAGAAAATAAGCTGTGACAAAATGACTTGCTATTTTTGTGATGATTTTTACTTGGAATAGAAAATTTTACCATAGCAAACCTGAATTGACTTTAAAGTTTAGTGGGGCTCTAGCGGCTATAGGAACCTTTGAACAGCTGTGTTCAAATAGTGTAACTGTAATAGTTTTAATTTAACAACATTCAACAATATCACGTGACCACTGCAATTTAAAAGTTTAGAAATTATTCTAAATTAAAAAAACATTCATTATTCATCGAAAAAATGTTTTTTTCTTAAGACAATAAAAAAAAAAAGTGTCCAACTGTCCATCCATTTTAAAATCAAAAAAGCATTTCTACTAATTATTAAATAATTAGGGTTTTTTTCATTGCATTTTTTATTTTACGATTCAGGGCAGATTTTCTGTAACTAGTTTGCAAAAAAAAAAAAAAAATCCATCTCCGAGGACTTGTAACATTTCATTTAAAAACTTAAAGTGATTTAAAAGAAAAAAAAAGAAAAAAGAAGAGAATTTCTCGAAATTAAACGAGGTGGGGAGAGTAAAAGATGTAAAAAAAGAATATATTTTTTAAAAAGATTTTCTAAAAAAAGAAACGTTTCAAAAATAATTTCATTTCTGAATAAGTTCTGAAAGTTTCATTAAAATCCGACAATTATGATTTTTGCAAGAATTTCATCGCAAAACAAAAAGATGCTCAAAATTCCCGGCCCTGCGTCGACGCCAGAAAAAACAATTTTTAAAAATAAAAATCAACATTTCCAAAGATGAAAAACAAAATTACAAAAAAGCCTTTGATCTAATTTAACAAAAGTTTAGACGATAACATTTTTGTTCTTTTTTGTGCATTTATTTCATTATGTATTCTCTTTTTTAAGCAAATTTTTGGAGGTAACTAAATAAAATCAACCTAACATGTTGAGATTTTTTAAAAACAATTTTCACCCAAGACATGACAAACCTCCAAGTATTGAAAACTTATACAAAATTTTACTCATTTTCAAACGGAGACCAATCGAGTGATTTGTAGAACACTTTAAGTAATTAATATAAATTTGGTTGAAGTTGTAAAGAAAATAGTTTGCTCAGAATCAAATCCAAAATCTTTAAAAAAATTCGAGAAGTTCAAAACTCGGGTTTTTATAAACAAAAAGAAACAAAAAAAAAAAAAACAACAAAAAGAAAAAAATTATTTTTAGCTAGTTAGGTGCATAACTTAAAAAAAACAAACACGTAATTAAAAATGTATACACAGCTTCAACTTCTGTTCACTTTTTTTTAATATTAAATTTAGAACTGGTAGAAATAGCAGTTTAGAGAAACGTGAATTACATTCATTTTTTAAAATGATTGTTTTTCATTTGATCGAAATAGATGACAATAGCTTCGGTGATCTTAAAAAGTTTGAAACTTTCTAATTAAAACTTCTCATTAAGTAAAAATAATTTTTACTTTTTTTTAGCATATCATTAAGGAAATAGGAGCATCATTTTTATGAAGTGATAAACAATAAAGTAAGACAATTACAATAAAATGAAATTACCAATTTTAAAATTACGAATTTCACTACATTTTTTAAACAAAAAATTGAAAAAGGTTTCAGTTCTTTTTGCAAAAGAGAAGAGAAGAAACCGCTGTCATGAAGTTTGTATAGAAGTGTCCTTTATAATACAATTAAAAATTTAAAACTAATGAATTGAAAATCCTTACTTTGTGGTACCAAATCCAGGATTAGTTGATTGGCCAAACGAAAACCCTCCTCCGGCCGCCATTTCAACTTTATTATGAACTCTCGTACCGAAGTGAACGAGAGCAGAAATATTTTATTGTATTTTTATCAAAAACAGTAATAGATTTTAATTTAGTATAATACTAAAAAACATGGATATTAAATTAGTTGGTTATAAAATAAAAATAAAGTAATGAAAAAAATGACATCACGTTTTAATGTGTCAGTCAATTCCTGTGTCATGGCTGACTGAAACCTGTAAGCAAACAAAAGTTGATTGTATAAGAAAATGGAGTTTATCAAAGCATCTAAGGTTAGTTGTCTATAAAAGTTTAAAATCTTTAACTGTCTGAACTCTGAATTACCTTTTACTTTTTATAAAAATAGTTTCTGTGATATTAAATGAATGAATGCTAGAAGCCGGTCATTTGACGATTACAAGCTTTTTTTTGTTACACACATCATGAAGCTGATAAATATAGAGATCGTCAAATTACTTTCATTTTGTCTAGAAATATTTTAACTTTGAAATGAAGAATTTGTAAGGGAATACATTTTCTTAATCGCTATATAAATATTTCCCCCTTTTTTTAAATTTCTATAGGGAAGATAAATTATTTAAAAATGTTTTACTTACGTTTACAAATATTAATATTTATTATTGCTTTCGTATACTTTTTTCATCAGTACAGTACATAAGAAAATTAATTTTGAATGTTCAATTGCAATTAGTACTCTAGCTAATGTCTATATTGTTGACTTATGTTGTAGGCGTGCATAATATATGATAATCAGTACTGAAATATTTTGATTGAAAAGGATTGTAAATCTCATTTACTAAAAAACATTTTTTTATATCTCAATACTATAGACATTGGAATGTTCTCAGAATCATTTTTTGGCAGTTAAGTAGTCTCTTATCTCAATTTTTAACCTTTTGAGGCTGATATTTAGGAGGATTTATGCAGTCGTTTTACTACTGGATTACAAATTATGTTTGTTAAGATTATTTGTGAAGGTTGAAAAACCTAAAATATCAATGAATTCTTTTTAAATACTATGAAAGAAAATTTATTTAAAAAACAAAAAAACTGTCTGTTTTTGTTTTTTTTTACGTGTCTTTTGAAAAAATTTGAACAGCGGTTATTAGATGCAAAAATAAAACGTTTCAAATATTTCCCCCCATTTAATTTTTCAAATGTTACCCAGGAATAACAGTTTTAGAGTAACACTAAATAAAATATTTAGTTTGGGTGAACTTATCAGACTTTATCCAATTTTTTTAATCTTATTCTTAAAGGTTTGTGTTGTTGACATCTTTAAAAAGTTGTGATTTTTTGATATCTGCTATTGACAGGTTTTTTGGTAGATTGATACCATAATTAAACTTAGCACAGCTTTGACACAAGGCCACTCTACATGGGGATTTCACCAATCTTTCAAATAAAACAGTCAAGAACTTTTTTATGTGTGTCTTTTAATAAAATTTTAAAAGGTATCTGATAGTTATAGATGTTTCACTTAGCTTAAGTTTTTTTAGCTCAGACACTTTTTTTTTTTTTTTTTTTTAGTGAAAGAAACTACTAAAAAGTATGGTTTTTACTTTTTAGTACTCTCGACCAATTTTTCTTTAAATTTTTTTCTAAGTAAATAATAGTAATAAGTTTGACAGTTACCTTTTTAATAAAATGTTCTTTTTCTACCAGAAGTTATGTTTTCAACTATATTTCACTGCTTTTTTTTTTTTTTTTATCGTAACAGTTTTGTGTGTGTGTGTGTGGGGGGGTAACCAGCAAGGTTGGGGAAAGCTTCTCAAAAACAAAAAAATGCGTTCTAGAATCAACCAAACGCAAATTTACACAAATTTTTAAAGCTATTAACTTTTTACATTGATGCTTATGTTGTTCTATGAAGGCTTTGTAGGCTGAAAAAATAATTGAAATGTTGAGTGCCTTTGTTTTCAATTTTAATTTTTAAGTACTCATTAATTTTAAAAATTTAAGAAAATATTGTCGGTAATGTTTTATTGAATTTTAGATACTTTCTGGTTTTAAATTTACTAGTTGCTATTGCTCTTATTTTCTGATAATGTTTTCTTTTGTTGTGTATGATTATGAAAAACCGTATAGGTACCTCCACGTAAATTTACACAAATACAACGATTCTAGAAATTTTAAAAAGCAAATTACCCGCTAATTTTTTTTGAAGAATTTAAATCTCCGTTTTTTTTTTATGGAAAAATAAAATAAAACTAAGACATCGTTTAATTAGAGAAGCTTTTCATTGCTTTTATGAATAAAGAAAGACAATATTGTCTGACGAAAAATAAATTTCTACAAGACAAGAGAGTTGTTTTTTTTTTTTTTTTTTTTTTTTAAAATTTAAAATTGAATCATTAAGTTTTTAAATCCTTTAAAGTTCAATTTCAATGAGATCATTCTTAAATAAAACTATATTTACTAAAAAGTCTATTACGATCCGAAGACCGACTATTTTCAAAAGAATTTCGATTTGTTTTTATATATGTATGTATGCAGAATTTCTGAAGTATGGGTGTACAAATTGATAAATCAATTCTGAAAAGGTTACGTGTTTTAAGGATTTTCCTCTCTTACGGAAAAAAAAAACCTAGTGAAATTTGTTATCTGCTATACCATACTTATGAACAAGTTCATCGGTCAATCCACTGTCAATAAATCGATTAACATGGTTCGTTAAATGCTTGTAAACAGCATTTTATGATTTTTATGGTATAAGTAATTAATATTTGTTTCAAATCAGATTAACTTAACTTTAAATTTGCCAATTTTCCTCAAATAGCATTTCAGAAATGTATATTTTATTTTTGCAAGAACGGAAAATTAAGTTTTGTTTACAAATGTCTAAAAAAATAGATAGCTGATGGTGTCAATTTAACTGAAAAAAAGTATTTCGAGACTATTCCAATCAATATAATTTCTGTCTGAAATACAAAGTATTTTGCTTACCAGGTATAGCAAATTTAAATCCTTTAGTTTTCCTTTAAAGCTAAATTGAAAGCTTCAGGAAAACTTTTTTTCATTTTTAAAAATTCATTTTGAAACCTTACATATGGAGGTACCTAAAATCAGCACATTTACACATATAAAAAATTGGTGTTTGTACTAAGCTTTTCTATTTATGATTAGTAAATATAGTTTTTACTTAATAATATCATGTAAAAGGCATAAATTAATACAGAATTTTAAAAGATTTAAAACCTTATAAATTATTCTAATTAAAATTTAAAAAAATAATTGAAAACAATTCTAAAAATTCACTATTTATTAAAAAAACAAAAACAAACCTTTTTCTTAAGATAATAGTGCCCTTATTCATAAAATAAAAGCAATTAAAAGTTTTCTAATTAAATAATGTCATTTTATTGCATTTTTTTGTGATTCAGAACAGATTTTTGGTAATGGAGTTTCTGTCTGACAAAAACAAATTGATGATAAATTCTTCAAGGAGTCCTGCTTTTAACTAATATAAATATGAAGAGGGTTGAATTTTAATTTCTTGAAAATTCATGAAATTAAGTAAAATTAACAGATGTGAAAAAAAAAAATTACCAAGATTTTCTAAAAAAGATGATTGCATTCATTGTGAATATGTTTTTAAAATTTTATTAAAATCCAACAGTTATTTGATTTTTGGAAGAATCTCCAAAACAATGCGTTTACTGAAAAATTCCCATACTATTCTTTGGCCTACCTGTTGATGCAAGAAAAACAAGATTTTTAACCAAAATGTTGAATGTACCAGAAAGGATTAAAAAATTTAATAAAATAATAAAAACTAGTGGAACTCGTGGAATTTCCACAGAACAACTAATAGAATATTGAGTAAGCAATAAACTTTTTCTACATATATGTATGTATAAAAATAATGTATTGAAGGAGCAATTAAAATCTCTACATCTATAACAGAATGAGATACTTAGGCAGCAAATAGTAAAATTGTGTATATTTGTACAGGTATATTTATAAATACATAAAGTTTAGACATGGACACATACCTAATGTAATCCAGGGTCTCCAGATTTTCAGTAAACACTCCACCTCTCAGTAGACAATGTTCTTAGTATCAGTTCGCCCTCTTCTCCTTTCTTGCCTGTCTCCATCACCTTAACCTTTACATCTGAGAGTTTGTAAGTTCTAGAGTATTCTACATACAATTGCCCATGACTGCCCCTGTGACTTGTTAATCGTCATGGTATATAACAAATGGACAAGAAACTGGGTTCTCTCCAAGGTGAATGGCAAGTTAGAGTTTCTTGGAGCCAGCTTTATTCTAAGGATGAAGACAAGTCAGCCAATTAATGAGCCACTAATCAAGGAAGCCTCAATTGAATGTTGATGCATGGCCACCACTTCTAGTCTTGTACCATTGCAGAGTCCTTTCTGGATAGAAATGTTATGAAGTAGCATTATTATTAAGCCAGGTTTTAAACTCAATTTATGAGGAGGCATTCCTGATGGTGTCAAAGAGTTTAGAAATTCAAGTGGGTAGTGTTCAGCCTCAACAGGATCATCTGTCAAAACTTTATCTGTACTATAATAGGTGCAGCAGTCACCTGGAAGTTGTCTCAAAACTTCTTCATTGATCAGGAGTCAGTCTGAGTTCTTTGGCAAAAGAATTACTTTGCTCCTTCTCTCTTCCTCAGATGTATTCTTGAAGATAGAGCTGTCAACATATGAAATTTAAGAAAACAGCAACAGTGTATTAGCCCATGCAGATCAAATAAGGACCCAGGGTGAATATGAAGAGCAAAATGATGAGGAAATGTCTATGATTCCATCCGTTAATGATTTATTAGAACAACTTTCCGCCCTAGAACAATTTCCCCATGAGTTTTTTCTTATTCTCGATATTATCCTACTTAGTACTGAATCATGTCTAGTTTCCGCAGCCATTCTATCTAAAGACAAAACATCAGTCTCTACCCAATGTAAGAATGCATTTTCAAATTCTTCTTCTGTTTTGTCTTTTGACTCCTTGTAAAATTGCAATCTTGATAGTGCA